TAGAAACAAACAAAAATTAAATTCTATAAAAATTGATTTGCTAAATCGAATTAAAAATCTTGACAAACCAGTAGCAGTTCCAATAATCGAAATTGAAACAAACAAAACGCGATTATGTATACACAATGATGAGACTAGAAAAGAATACTTACCAGAAAAGTATGATCCCTTGTTAAATGGGCCTTCCCGCGGAAGAATAAAAAAAGATATCACGTCGATAAACGATACTTCGATCAAAAAGTTGAGAGAGAAGGTTATGCTAAATAGACTTCATGCTTTATTGTTGATGTCTACTTTTGAAAAAAAGGAAAAAAAAACCATTACAAGTTGGTGAGTTCTCAACTTTATCATCAAGTTTCAATTTAACGGATTCAGAACAACTAACAAAATTTTTAGTAAATGCAATTGAGACAGACGATAAAAAATCTTCTGCAATAGAAAAAAAATAGGTAAAGAAGAAATTGGTAAAAAAGTCCCCCGATGGTCATACAAATTAATACTGAATTGGAACAAATATCGTATTTTACAAATCCACCAGATGATCATGATATTCGTTCAAGAAAAGGGATCAGTGTATTAATTTTTGAAGAACCTAAGACTCTCAAAGATAAGACTACAACAAAGATAAGAATACAAAGATACAAATATTCAAGCTATAAAATCCGACGATAATGAGAAAGATAAAAATATTAAAAAGAAAAAGGAAGATGAGGATAATAAGCTTTTTTTATTACGATATCCGCACCAATCTGATTTTCGCCAAGGCTTAATAAAAGACTCTATGCGAACTCAAAGACGTAAAATAGTTATTGAGGGACTTTTTAAAGCAAATGCGCATTCCCCTCTTTTTTTTTGACAGGATGAGGAAAAAAAACCTTTTTTTCTCTACCATACCTGGCTCAACTGAAACGGCTTTTTAGAAAATGGTCATCCATAAAGAGTTTGGGATTTTAGAATCTACAGAGGAAAAAAAAATAATAATAAAAAGAGAAACCAAAAAGGAAAAAAAAACGACGAGAGGAAATAGAACGGTTAGAGATAGGGGAAGCCTGGGAGACTTTTCCATATACCCAAATAATAAGAGGTTTTTTATTAATAACCCAATCAATTCTCAGAAAAAAGATTCTATTACCTTCATTCATAATCGGTAAAAATATCGGGCGTATGCTACTATTTCAAACTCCTGAATGGTCTGAAGATTTAAAGGGATGGAATAGAGAAACGCATGTGAAGTGTACTTATAATGGTATTCCGTTAGCTGACAAAAAATTTCCGGAAAATTGGTTGACAGAAGGTATTCAAATCAAAATTTTATTTCCTTTCTGTCTCAAACCTTGGCACGAATATAAATCGCTAAATTCTCGTGATGACTTTTGTTTTTTAACAGTTTGGGGAAGGGAAACAGAACACCCTTTTGGTCATCCACGACAAAAACCTTCGTTTTTTAAGCCTGTTTTTAAGGAACTTTACAAATTTGTAAAAGTAAAAATTAAATTTTTAAAAAAGTTTTCAAAAAAAAACACAAGTTCAAAAGAAACAAGAACAATACACCCGAGTGTAATAAAAAATGAAAAAGATGATCTAATAAATAACCAGATAATGAATCAACCCTTGAGTAAAATTGAAAAAATTACAGATTGGAAAAATTATTCACCGATAGACAAAATGCAGGCTATCACTCATAGGACAAGTACAATTAAAAAAAAACTAGAAAGAATTACGGAAGATAAGAAAAGGGTCACTCTAGAACTTGATATGAACCCTTACAAAAAAAGTTCGAGATTAGCCTTGTCAAAAAATTTTTGTCAAATGTTGAAAAAAAAAAAAAATAGATTAATATATAAATTTAATTATTTTATAAAATTATTTATTCAAAGAATATCTAATTGTATTTTTTTATATACTATATCTATTTGCCAAATGACTCAAAAAGTCTTTGTGGAATCAACAAAAATGAACTCTCTTTCAAATTCAAATATAAAAACGCATAATAATAAGCTTTATAAGGAAAATTCAGAGAGTTTTGGTGATTTATCCAACTTGTCACAAGCATATGTATTGTACAAAATATCAGAAAGGGGTTTTTTGAACGTACGTAATTTCATATCTGTTCTTCAACAAAATGGAACATCTTTCTTGATTAAAAAGAAAATAAAAGACTCATTTCATACACAAGGAATACTTCCATCTGAAGGAATAAAAAAACAACTTAAGCGGCCTAGAACGAGTCAATGGAAATTTTGGTTAAAAGGGAATTCTCACTACGATTTATCTCCTAATTTCTGGTCTGCCTTAAGATCACAAAAACAAAAATGGAGAAATAGGGCGAATCGCTATCGTAGGTCTAAACAAAAATATTTAGACAAAAGGACTTCCGGTAAAAAATTAAAATTAAATACTTACAGGAAACAAAAGGATGCTAACTCAGTCTTGAATAAAAAAACAAAAGATAATTTAAAAAAATGCTATCGATATGATCTTTTAGCATATCAATACATTCAGTATGAAAAAAATAGTGGAACCCCTCCAGGAGCTAAACGGGAAGCAATTTCTTATCATTACAAGATGTCACAAAACAACTTGTTTGCGATAACGAAAAATATTCCTATCACTAGTTTCAGAGGAAAAATAGAAAGGTTAAATATTCCATATCCAAAAAAAGATGTCGATAGAAAATATTTGAATTGGAAAAATATTGATTTTTCTCTTAAAAAAAAAGCGAATATTGAGTCCTGGATCACGGGTAATTATAACAATACTCAAAATACTCCCAATTTTCACTTACAATTATCAATTAATTGATAAAATGGAAGAAATTTTGAAAATTGAGCAAATTTTTAAAAACGAAAAAGATCCTTTTGCTCTTTTGATTCAGAAAAATACCGAAATGAATCGACTCCATTCTAGAAATTCTTTATTGGATTGGATGGGACTGAATGAAGAAATACTCGACCGTCCATTAACGGCTGAGGAACTTTTGGTTTTCCCAGAATTTGTGTGGTTTGTTAATTTATATAAACTGAAACCATGGATTATACCAAGCGAATCACTTATTTCAAATTTGAATCTTAATGAAATGACAAGTCAAAAGACCGGTAAAACTCAGAAAGATAAAAAAGATAAAACTGAGAGTAAAAAAAAAGATAAAGCCGAGGGTCAAACCAAAAGTGAACCTGAGGGTCAAACCAAAGGTGAAACTCAGGGTGAAACCAAAGGTAAACCTGAAGGTGAAACCAAAGGTAAACCTGAAGGTGAAACCAAAGGTAAACCTGAAGGTGAAACCAAAGGCGAAACTGAAGGTGAAACTGAAGGTGAAAAGAAAAGTCAAACTGAGATAGAACTAGAGTTATTCATGAAAAACTATTTATTTTTTCAATTTAGAGAGGATTTTACTTTAAATCAAGGCCTTTTCCAAGATCTCCAAATCTATTGTCTCTTGCTTAGAATGATAAATCGAAAAAAAATGATGCTATCATGGATTCTAAGGGAAAAGTTAAATTTGGGTCTAATGCCACAGATGGATCAGAAAGAGAGTGTTCCAGATTCAAAAAGAAATGTTCCAGATTCAAAAGAGAGTGTTCCAGATTCAAAAGAGAGTGTTCCAGAATTTTTAAAAAAGACGGGATTTTTGGTCGACCCCCTTCCGCTGTCTATCAAACCAAATGGAGAATTTCTTATGTATGAAACGATAGTTATTTCGTTGGTTCATAAGAGTAAACAAATTCTTAATAAAGAAGACGTAAAACAAAGAATAATTCGCGCTCGAGAGAACAATAATTGTGATCCGCTTCTTATTGAAAATATTTTATCATCTAGGCGTCGTAGAGAATTAAGAACTCTAATTTGTTTCAATTCACACAAATGGAATGGCGTGGATGCAAATTCTCTAGTTTCCAACAAAAATAAAGTTTGGGAAGAAAGCAACCCTGGGCCTAAGGATCAAAATAAATTAATTGAATTTTTTCTTTGGCCTAATTATCGATTGGAAGATTTAGCTTGTATGAATCGTTATTGGTTTTATACTAATAATGGGAGTCGTTTCAGTATGTTAAGGATCCATATGTATTTACCATTGAATTTAAATTGGTGGAAATTTAATTGATAGTAGTACTATCTACCCTGTAGCAGGGTAGATGGTAGCAGGTTAGATGAAAACCAATATGGACACATACCCTATTTTATACCTCATTTTAATTTGGATCTAACTGAATTGAGGATACCATATATCTATCTAGATCTATATAGATATATTGTACCTCATTAAAAGAATATTAAGTTGAAAAAATTCACTTTGATTTTATTAATGAACCCTAAAAGAAAGGGTTTTCTTTTGATTTGAATTGATAGACTTAGTTAGAAGAATTCCTTTTTAGCAATAAATGTCTTTCACATCCAGTGATAACCTGTAAATCATTTGAAATGGCAGTTCCAAAAAAACGTATTTCGAAAGCCAAAAAGCGTATTCGTAAGAACATTTGGAAAAGAAAGACTATTGAGGTAAGATTAAAAGCTCTTTCATTAGCAAAATCTCTTTTAACGGGTAAGTTTCAAAGTTTTTTTTACAAAAAAAATAAGAAAACATTGGACTCATTTCTGTCAAGTTGATTTATTCTATAATATAGAATAAAAGTAAATAATATTATCCTTTTTTTCTTTATTTTTTGTTCGTTCGTTTTAGTTACTAATCAATTATTTCATATCTATGAAATGAATCTAGAACTTAATTATAAAAAATTATTTTAAATGCATATTATATATCAATGAAGGGAGTTCATTTAGTTTATGATAAAAAACTTACAAAACAGAGGTTCCGTTGAATTTCAAGTATGGAATTTCACCAATAGAATACACCGGCTTACTTCCCACTTGAAATTGCACAAAAAAGACTATTTATCTCAAAAAGGTTTACGTAAAATTTTGGGGAAACGACAACGACTTTTAGCTTATTTATCAAAAAAAAATAAATTCCGCTATAAAGAATTAATTGATAAATTGGAGATTAGAGAGACAAAAACTCATTCATTTTGAAGTTGCATAGCTTTTCAAACCTATTATAGAGGTAAATTTAGAACAACAATATGGTTACTGAAACAATTAAAAAAGAATAGCTTGGGGTAGTGAATAGAAAGACATCATGTCCTTTTGTCTATTGATTCTTACTGTATAAATTTGAAGGGAGTATTTATTTAAAACTTTAAAACAATAGATTGAGTTAATTAAAAAAAGAATCCTTATTTACCCTATTAGGTAGTTTGTAGGTAGTTTGCGTAGTTATAAAAAAATGATAATATTAAAACATAAAATAATTTTTTTTTATTTTCAAAACCAATCCAGAAATCTATTGATTAGAATCCTTCTGAGAATTCATTGAGTCATATAGTATCTAAAAACCAAGTATCTTATAATTTTATATTGGATAAAAATAATATTTGGAGGATACTATATCGATAATTCATAAAGTTTATAAATTTATTCGTCCAATGGCACATTCTGTAAAGATTTATGATACATGTATAGGATGTACTCAATGTGTCCGAGCCTGCCCCACCGATGTTTTAGAAATGATACCATGGGACGGATGTAAGGCTAAACAAATTGCTTCTGCTCCGAGAACAGAAGACTGTGTAGGCTGTAAAAGATGTGAATCCGCCTGCCCAACAGATTTCTTGAGTGTTCGAGTTTATTTATGGCATGAAACAACTCGCAGTATGGGTCTCGCTTATTGATCTGGTCCAGAAAAGTATATTTGAATTCATTCTATTTTTATTGAACACCCGTGCTCTCAAATAGGAAATATTTTTATTTGAGAGCACGGGTTTCACAAATTTTTAGCTTTTCACGAAGTAAAAAATTAATGTCTTTTTTTATGTTCGCGAAAATGAACCATAAGTATGTAGACCTAATCCAATTAAATTGACTCCAAAATAACATATCCAAATAAGAAGAAAACCTATAGATGCCACAATTGCCGAAGTAGCACCTTCGAAAGTTCTATTTCTTCGAGTATGTAGATAAATTGAAAACACTATCCAAGTAATAAAAGCCCAAGTCTCTTTAGGATCCCAACTCCAATAAGATCCCCACGCTTGGTTCGCCCACAAAGCCCCCGAAAGTATTCCTATGGTTAAAAAGATAAACCCTAAACTAATAACTCGATAACTCCAATAATCCAATTCTTTACTTAATTGAATCTTATAAAAATTTTTAGCCGAAAAAATATAATTCATTTTAAAAATATTTTCATTTTTTCTAAAGGTAATGACCATAAGTGCTACTGATAATAAGGAGCCACATATAAGAGCTGCGTAACCCACTATCATCATACTTACGTGCATTATTAACCACTCAGATTGAAGAGCGGGGACTAATATTGAAGATTTTTTAATTTCTGTGAAAAGACCCGAAGTAGCAAAAGCCTGGATACAAAAATTGATTGGGCTTATTATTGTACTTAATAATTT